GGGCGGGAGCGAGCGGAGGCCCGGCCTCCTCCTTCCCTCTCGGGAGAGGCTGGTCTGGGGAGAGGTAAGGAAAGACTGTGTGGTTAACCGCCAAGACCCGAGGGGGCCTTGAAGAGCGCCGGTGAGGGAGCTCAGGCGTTTGAGGAGTTCCTAAAAGCAGCGGTGGCGGGCGAAGGCGGAGGTGCCAGGTTTCCTCGCGGAGTTCGCGGCCGGGTTTGAGGGCAAGAAGGGGAAGAGCCCAGCCGAAGTGTGGGAGCCGGGGTACGCCGCTCGAGGCGTGCGCTGCCCGCGCCCCGGTCGTGGGACCCTTTGTCCGACGGGCGTCCTCATCCGCTTCACCGTGAGAGCCCGAGGCGGGGAGGTCCCGGGACGGACGGGGAGAAGAGCGTCGCGAAGTGGACTTCAGCCCCTCGCGGGGAGTCAGGGTGCTGCCCCAGGTTGACACTTGTCTGTTGCCTGTTTCGCTTGAGGAATTGTTTTTCTACCTTTAAAAATAAAACGTTTTGTGTTCCGGGGAAGCTTGCTCTTTTTCATTTCAATTTTAATTAATTGCCCTCTGCTTTAAATTGAACTCCACAGGAGTCCGAAGAGAGTGGGTTCTAACCCAAATAGGCTCAGCCAACGTGTTTTTCACCCTTGGAAGTGTGTGTATTAAGTCACAACGCTTCAAATATTTTCTGTTTCTGTTCGGGGTAGCCCGTCCTCAGATACACTGATGCTTTCTGTAAGCGTGAGTAGTTTTCATCACGAATGCATTTACAGTTTTTCTCAAATGGTGTTCTGGGTCAATAAAAACTACTGAATAGTTTGTACCAATTCATATAAATGTACAGTGTAAATTTATCATGTTACTTATACAGTGGATGTAATCACAGAAACTAGGTTTGAATGTTGACTGACTACTTAACCCGGTACCCGTAGGCAAACCATTTAAACTTTGCTGAACCTGTTTCCTCATTTCAAAATGAAGTAATAAAGCTTATTTCCTGTAGTTGTTACTGAGAATGAACGAAATTACATGTTTAAAGAGTATGAAAGGTATGTCCGTAAATAGTTTTTCTCCCCAGTAATTGGAATTATTTCTTTAGTTTTCTGTTAACTAAAACGTTATTCATACTTTAAAGATCTGTAAAATTAAACAAGTACCTTTACTGAAAGAATGTTCCATTTTTCAGTAGTATGGGCCATACCTTGAAACTAAACTACAAAGTTAGCTCTGGACATTATTTCAGGTACAACAACATGACTCAGTCCCATGAGGAAGAAAGTTGAGAAATAAGCAAAGTGTGTATTGCTTTAGGGTTAAACAATCTTAAAAATTTTCATTGTATATTTTTAAACCACTGTATTAGGAAATCACAAGGTGGGGGGATTGTTGTCTCAAACACCAGATAATAGTATTTGTAACATGTATCTAATAAAGGATTTTATTTGTGTTAAGAAAGAAAAAAAATACACTGAATTCGCTTTAAGTTCAATTATATCTAAAGTAATGAAAAGTAAATACTTCTCATGACCTATGGATATCTACTAAACAACCTTCCACAGTGATCTAAGAAATCTCATTTTATGTTTTCTCAGCAGAGTATTGTCAGTTTAAATTTACCTGAGATCTTCACCTTTTTAGTATGTGTTTTAGTTACTTTTCTCTCATTGCTGAGACAAAATGCCCAACACCCAAAATTAAGGAAGAGAAGATTATTTAGCTCACAGTTAGTGGAGGTTTCAGTCCATAATCATTTGACTTTAAGGCAGAGTGGCATGGCAGAGGGGCAATAGTTCATGGCAGCCGAAGATTGCAAAAGCAGCAAGACCCCCCCCACCCCAAATAAAAGCAAACCTCTTTTCCTCCCTTATATTATATGCAGGCTACCGGATGCTAGGGCACATGTAAAGCTCAAACCCCCAACTCAGCACTAGACAATGAACCAGTGACAAACTCTAGATTCAGCTGCCTCTGAAAAAGCCTGCTCCCCAATGACCGATGAGGCTTTAGGAGGACATCCAGACACAAACCATAACAGTACCCAAAGTTGTTTAATTCACTAGTTATGAATTCAGTATTTAAATGAGTAACATATTCTTTTTAAGATTCACATGCCTTACTTTGTATTTTAAGAGCCAGTTCTCTAAGGGGCATTGCACAGTGGTGAATCTCAAAGGAGGAGCTTATATTCAAGTTTTATTGAAGCTTAAATTAAGAAAATTGAGATTTGGAGAGAATGAGTGAATTACCAATGGCTGTACAGGTAACTTGTGGCAGAGAAAAGACTAGAAAACTTAGAACTCCTGATCATCTTGTTATACATAGGGAACGTATTCCTTTCCATGGGACCACACAAATATTGGAGTAATAGTTTTTGTAATTGAATGTGGAACTACAATGAAATTTAGTTATTAAAAAAAATAAATAAAAGCCAAGCATGGTTGTATATGCCTTAATCCCAGCACTTGGGAGGCTGAGGAGGATCACTGGGAGTTCAAGTGGAGCCTGGGCTACACAGACTCTCAAAATTAAAAAAAAAAAAAAAAGCAAAAGAATTTAAGATAAAGATACCTAGTAATAAGGTGGGTCATAAGACTTCATTTAGTTTTTAGCTTAACATCCATGGGTGTTATGACCCACTTCCAGTGAATGAGACATTATTACCCTTTATTTTTTTTAATTTACATTTTGTTCATTTATTATCCTTCACCTCATGTTAGAGTTTAGATCTTAAATGTCTACCAAAAGCCCATGTGCTAAACACTTGCTTCTCAGCCTGTGGGGTTTTTTGGGGAGGGGGGGCGGTGAAACATTTAAGTGGTAAGGCCTAGTGGAAAGTAGGTTATCAGGAGTGTTTCCTTAAAGGGGAAACTGGAAACCCAGCCCTTATTCTTAAACTTCCCAGCCACCATGAGGTTAGCATCTCCTGTGCAGGATGCTCCTGCCATGCTGTACTGTGCCACCACAGGACAAAAGTGACAAGTCCAAAGACTATAGAGTAAAACCCGTGAAACAGCCAGAAAAAATTTTTCCTTGCTATAAGGCAATTTTCTCAGGTATTTTGTTATAGTGACAGAAAGCTAACAGTTCAGTAGTTATAATTTGGGTCCAAAGAAATTATAGAAACTATTTTATCTCTTGTTGCTTTTGAAAGACTTTCTAAAAGGTATGGAGAAGTGAGAAAGAAAAAAATGTGTTTCATCTACTTTTAAATCCATGCTTTGCTTTCATTGTGTATTATATCTGTGTTGGCTAATATAGTCAGGAAGAATGAAATAATGTTTACTGTGTTCAACTTTATATTTAAAGTAGAATGGTTTTCAGTATTAAACAGTTTCTATTTTTGAAGGGCCGGGGATATAGCTCACTGGCACAAGTGCCTGCCTGGCAAGGTCCTGAGTTTGATTCCCAGTACCCCCCCTCAAAAAAAGATGCCTGACATTTTCTATTTTTGGCATATAGATTTGAAATACCAACTAGATGCTCTGTAACTAGGTATTCAAATACTATTTAGGAAATGAAGCATCATTGTAATTGCATCTTAACTCATGTTTTAGGCTGAGTAAGACTATACCTCTATTCCTTCAAAAGCTGAAATTTTTATAGTTGAGTGAAGTTTGCTAAAAATGTCCTGTTACTATTTTATGATTATGAAAACTGTACTTTCTGAAAAGGTCCCAAAGGAATATTTGAAAATAAGTCCATAATTCCTTTTCTAACATAGATTCTAATTGTGTATCATTCTAATACTCTCTGTGAGACCCCACTTAATCTAAAATGCCCTTACATATCATGCAAAAATATTAAAGCAAGATAAGGTAGTCATTTTATTTATATTAGGACCTGTATGGGAAATACAGTTCAGTCCTATACATATAAGGATTGCCCTCAGGCATTTATTTACCTAAACATGTAATCCTTTAAAATGGATTAGAATTTTATTTACACATTAACCATGAACTAGACAGAGTAAAAGAGCATAAAAATGTAAACCTCACGCCCTGATGATGAATCAGATATTATTTTAAATTAATATGTGTTATGTACATATACCAACTCCCCAAGATAAATATAGCTATTATGTACTGCAAACATGTACTAATAAAAAATAAATAATAAAAGACTCAAATTATGTCAAGAAGTACCCCCATCATCTGGCATTAGGTTGACCATATTATGATTTCTCTTTCTCCAGCATAAAACTAATCCTATCACTTTTCACATTCTTTAAGCAATCAAGTAATCAAAGAATTTTATAGCTGCAATGGATCTTAGCAAGTCCAAGTCACTTTCTTGACAGATTAGTAAACAGACACATACCTGTTGCATAAAACTGAAAAGGTACATTTTTGGCCCCCAATCCATTTGATTCTTTTGTGTAAGATTCTACTATATTCATATATTTATAGTAGAGGTTTCTGCTTGTAGTATTTACTTGAGATATCTAAAATTCATTGAGTACTTCTGGGAAGATGATGCAGCAGTAAAAGGCAACAAACTCCAAGATTTGGGTTGCAAAATCTTGGAATTGTAAAATAACTACTTGGGAAAGTAGTTGGAAAAAGACATTGGGAAAGACATTGGAAAATAACTACTTGGGAAAGAAAAGAAGCAAGGTGGACTCCTGGGACCCAACAAGAATCTAAAGGGAAAATTGAAGCCTACAGAGAAAGTGAAGAGACAGACCATAAAGCAGAAAAAGGAAGAGGCAAACTGTTACTTTCTCCTTGACTCCCAGCTTATGGTATGAGAGAGGAGGATCAAATCTATAGAGACATAGGGTGGGTGAGTCCAGAGGCCTGCAGGGAGAAACACACTAGTGCTGTGTGCCACAACAGATGGTGAACTACTCCAGTCCAAGGGACCACCGTATTTCCTGGAGAGGATGCTTAGCCAGATAACGTTTTAGAGAGGGGCTGACAACCGAAGACTCAGAAGAACCATGAGTTGGCTTTATTTTAGGGTTCTCACTGAAATCCCACAGTAGCTGGGTGAGGGACAACTGTGGGAGACATCCAGGGTCAGGGAGCTGAGATCAGGCCAGCAAGAGACACCCAGAGTATTGTAAACTGAACAAC